GTTTTTCGATCTAATTTTTTAAATCCTAATAATTATTATATAATAAATATTTCAAATTTAAAATCGATTAAAATGGAGATTCACTTAGTGCAAAATTATACGTAATCATAAAATGCTCCTCTAATAGAGTGATTTTAATAGAAAAAACTTTTCTTTCCAACTAATTAGTATAATTTTGAAAATAGTTACGTAGAAAATGGGACATCCAATATGTGTATGTGCGCTGATTCATTGTTGTAGCAATCGTCTATTTGTCGATAAATTATCAAAAGGTTTATCCTGAAATACCTAACACGAGCGATCGTAGAATTATATTGGATCGGATGAAAGAAAAATGTACGTTGTAGAGAAACGGTGAGAAAGATAAACGCCGTTACCGATAGAAAGGCATCGTGCTGTGGTACCCTGATGCGGGAGAAATCCGCGGTATCCGAAAACTTTTCAGGAAATACCTTTCGTGAGTGCGATAAAACTTCGCAACCGTGAGGAAGTAAGTAAGCAATGTCTCTTTCGAAGATCTACCAAACACCTTCAAAGATAGTGAAAGTGTTAAAGACGCTATAAATTTAAAAGAGTGATAAGTAGGACGATGTAAATGAAAACTTGTCTAGAAAATTATATCGCGAGTTTTATGTAATAACGTCTCACGTTTCATTAATTATAATCAGAGTTGGGAATTTTATAAAAATTATGCGTTATTGTTACGATTACTAATCTTTTCTAAAAAATAACTATTACTCATTAGTAACTTTAAAAGATAAACTTTACTGTTACAGTTACTTTTAGAAAGTGAACATTCATTACTTTTTTAATGTAATGTTAAGATAAGATATTGTATTATTCAAAAATGAATTATTTATAATTAAAAAAAACATTATTTAATAATTAATATTAATTGTAAAAATTGATATTAAAATAAAATTAACTTTAAATTCTAAATTAATCTTATAGCAAACTTTCATTAAACTCGTATCTAATAAATCTTCGATAATTTCCTTATATTAATACTTTTATTTTTTAATATATACTTTAGAAAATTAGATTTAATTAGGAAATTAGTTCTAATTTCTAACACAGAGAGAGAGAGAGAGAGAGAGAGAGAGAGAGAGAGAGAGAGAGGGAGAGTCTATTAAAAATTTTTATGAAATCGTTTTTAAACATTAATGTAGTAATTAAGAGTGTAATCATTACTAAATATTTATAGTTTGCACTATTTATATACTATAGATTTTCAATATTGGCGGTAACTATCAGAAATAAGCAGCCTAAAATATAAAGTATAAAATAAAATATAAAACATTTTCCGATATTTAAATTTCTCTCATAAGATATTTCTAACCAATTAAATTTAATAATAACGGATATTTAAATTTCTCTCATAAGATATTTCTAACCAATTAAAAATAATGCGATCTATTGAATAGTTATAAAAATAAGAAGAAATTAAAATAACGATAAAGTAACGGCCTTATCGTTACTGTAAAAATATAATGATGTTATCGTTATTGTTACGAGGAAAGAAACAATCATTACCGGCGTAACAAACGGTAATGGTGTTATAAGTAACGCATTACTTTCCAACCCTGTATATAATATGTCGTGCATTCTTTAAAACTAATTTGTTAACTAGAAATAGAAATAGATTTATGTTTCAGCGCACACGGTAATATTTTAGAATAAATTCTTGTTGGACTATAGCAAATATATTATTAGGAATTAATTATACTTTGTACTTCCTCAATTATTAACTTTAATTCAACGTGTAAGTTTCAAATTATATCTTTTTTTGCTAGTTAAATGTTGAGAAATGTAGAGACATTCTTATAACGTTTGTCACAATTTTATTCGCATTACGTGTTCTTACTAACGATGACAATGATGAAGAGAAGTCTTACAAACGAAGTATGTATATTATGTATCTACTTTGCGATCTTTACGAGAAAATTCAGACGAATCGAAGTAGGATCGAAAAGTCGAACGACTGAACATAAGGGAAAAGGTCGAGTAATACGCTTCCTTCGTATGTCCGAGGGAATTTTATTACTAGCAGTAACACGTCCAGAGATTTTTCCAGCAATGGAGAAGTACAAACGCGAGTTCCACAAGGAACGGAAACGCGAGGAAGGAAGGCGCGCCAACCGCGCGATCACGTGGAGGAAGTCACGAAGTATAAACGACATGGTTCCTGCGCGGCAACGTTGACGTTTATCTCGTAGTAAAGGCGCTGTCGGACATAGAGTTCTTACGCCGACAAATCAATTTACGTCCCTCGAGAAAAGT